GGGGGAGCAGAGGGGCACAAAATAGTAGTCCTGGGCACAGATACTTGAGGCATCTAAACGGAGATGTAATAGACTACCTGAAGGCTTTGGACCATTAGGATTTTTACTAGAAAACAGAGCTGAAACATACAGAAAGAATATTTTCCACCACAGATACCCACAGGCAGTCCAGACTTCCAGAATTCTCACTGTATATAACTCAGTTCCTGTAAAACAACGTTTCTAGTACTTTACAATATACAGAAAATCCTAAATATATGAATCAAGTTTCAGCCATCATCTACCAATTCCCAGCTGCTCAATCCTTTCACCTTCTTGTACAAGCTTCAAAACTCTTGATCATGGATCCATGATATGGATCATGGACTCAGTTTGCTAACGGAGAAGAAAAATTTTCACGTTATCTTCTTGGCTCATTTCCCACTTGTTTAACATACCAAATCATCTCAGTGCAGACTGGGACAAAGCTAGATTCAAGGCCGAATGTGAAGCATGAGGTTGGTAAGAGGTGAACAAGTTCGTCCTTTCGAGTGACAGTTAATTAGAATACTAAATAGCTGGAAACCTGCTCTGTTCATCTCATCTCTAAAGATGTAACACTGTGCACTGGAGTACTGCACGAGCACTGTCCAGATCATATTGTAGTTCTGGGAAAAGGCCCAGAATATTCATCTGAAAAGATTTAATCTTGATCTTCTTGGCAGAATCCACACAGAAGTGCTCAAACAGAATAGGTTCCTCTACTGCTGAAAACAAGACAGGAGTTTAAAGGTCTTATTGTGGAGATTCTAAATACCAGAAAACAGAACAGTACAAGAGACATTAGTATTACAAAACTGATTAAAAGGAATCAAACACTTTTTTTTTTTTAAAGTAATTAGAAAAACTATGGCAAGAGAATAAAATAACCCTAATTGCTGATATCACAGTAAAAATAAACAGCAGTAGCTAAATATTTTCAAATTTGTATTTCTGAATTATGTTTTAATACAGTAAAACAAAGAATTGGTTTTTTTTTACTCCTCAAGTTATTTTAAGGCATTTATGATCTTGATGGTCTGCAAAGTTTCTAGAGGTCCTGGAAACAACAGGCCAACAAGTACTTGCGTTACAAATGAAATCCCAAATGAACCTTCTCAGTCTCCTGTGCAGCTGCAGCTGAAAATGGAATATTACACGGTCATTTAGTTTTCTTTATTCAGTTCAACACTCAGCTATTCAGCTGTCTTTTTAGAATGATTGGTATTCATGAGGCTTCATTCTAAGTGTACAGCACAACATAATGCTGAACTCTTTATCAAGGAGGCAAAAACTACAGCAGCTTTCCCCAACAAAGGTAGATAATATGCAACTCCACTATCACAAAGTAACAAGACATATTTAAAAAACGAGTGCCACAGGTGTTTTTTTCCTTAAAAAAACCTATTAATTTTAACAAATGTCTACATTAACAACAACAAAAGCAAAAACCCCATCAAAAAGTCTTAATATTCATTATATATAAATTTTTCATGGGAAGTGTTTGTCTAATCTGTTCTTTAAAAGTTACTAACATGTAGATCTTACAGTTTCCTTAGTCCTTACCTTTAAAACCTTAGATGTTGTGTCTTGCTTTTTCCAAAACAGAAGCCAGACTGAAAGCAACTGTAAGTTTCATTGAACAATGCTGACATATGCTAATTAAGTAACAGAAAATCTCTTTCCCCTAAATGTAAACAAACATCTGAAACTCCCACTGCCCATTGATATACAAAGCATTTGTCAAACAATGAAGAACAACAGCATGGAACTATTTAAAAATCTATGAGAAATGAAAGGTAATCTCAGTGCTCTTTTATTTATTATATCTTAAATCTTTGTTTTGTTTTCTAAAGATATAATTTTCTTCAGCTTTGCAACAGATGTTGCCTGGAGGAAAGAGGAGACACTTCAGTACTACAGAAATCCCTTCCTGGATATCCATCACAGCTTTTAGGAAGTACGGACAGTTTTGTCTCAAGAGCAGCTGAATGTAATGAACAATGCTCCTGCACTCCACCACGAAAAGGTCCACACGTACTTACATTCAAGGGTTGTGATCTATTTTAAAACAAGAATTTATTGTGTTATAGTATAAAGACACTAAACACAAAAACAAAGTGTTTAACAACATTAACATTGACACAAAATAAAAGCAAGATCATTTCAAGCCAATTCTGTAACCATTTCATGTGAGAAACTCCAAGCAAAAGAAAATTACATACACAGGCTCACCCTATGGAAAGGATGGCACCACCTTCATCTAATTTAAACCCCCTTTCAGGGCACCATAGTATTGTCAGAATAGTTGCATTAATTTGAGGGCTCAAGTGGTATGTAGGCCTTGTCCTTGCCCTCTCTATATAGGAGAACTTACCAATAAATCTACAAGAGAACCAATGAATGCATTTCTACTGTAAACTAGAAGACTTGAGGTAAATTCTAATCTACCTTGGATTTCTTTTTCTCTTATTACAGAGGATTTCACTGAAGAGCAGCATAAATTTAGTTAACTTCATTGTAGTCCATGTGATAGCATAGATCAAAAAAACATAATGCTTTGCATTACATCACACAACTGCAACAAAATACATACAGTATGTCATAAAGCTTCTTTGAAATCATGTATTGTAGAACGGCAATCCAACATATGAAAAGATTTAAGTATATGAGAAGATGCACTTTAACCATTTCTTCAGACACATTACCTTGTATCAAAATAAGGTCTCTTCACTGTGGACTATCTGAAAGGATCCGTTATGTGAACCAGCTGTACGAAAATACATGAATTGCTCAAAGATGTGAGAATCCTTTCAATCAATAATAGAGAGCAGTTAACAAGAATATACAGATTAAATATTCAGATCACTGCTCATTCATATGAAACATTTCCAAAAATAATAGATTTGATTAACTTAAAGCAATAAAATTTATCTAAATAAAAAGTTAGGAGCACAACTACTTCATTTGCTTAAAATGATTATTTTTGGCTCTTAAAAGAATCTGAATTCTAGATTTTAAAGGCTCTTTGTGAAAGTATATATATACATCAAATTTATATCCAAAACTAGATTTTACCATTGCGTTTTAAAGGCCAAGAGATATTTTCAATACAGTAGAAAAAATAGCAGTTCCTGAAGTATATTGTAGCCTCACTTTACTGACAATATCAATAATTGTTGTACAAAATACTTCTCCAAAGCAAATCCATTTGAACTCTATCCACCCTGAGTTATGCTTCTGTGATTTTTAAAAATGTTTTAAACATCAGATAACAGAGAAGTATGTACAAGGCTATAAAATTTGTCAGTTATTATACAGCAGTTAAAAAATTCAGTACTATCAGCCAATTTTGTTTTTGTAGTTATTCAGTCTGGGTTGTGTCACTGTTGATTTTCTGTTTGTTTTTTTTTTTTTTTAAATCAAGTAGTCACTTCATCTAAACATTCACATATTGACCACTTGATTCTTTACTTTTGAGTGCAACAGTAAGGCAACAGTAAAAAAAAAAGTCATAGAAATTTTGCATACATGTAAAGGTATTAAGTTTATAAAAGTGCTTCCTAAAAAGATAACCTAATTGCAGTATCAAAATATTACAGAGTGGTGAGAACAACTATCTATTATTTCAATAAAATGTTGCTCCATAGAAAATACATCAGTCTGGTTTTAGGCTTTCTCATCTTTTTTTTTTTGGGGGGGGGGGGAGGGGGAAAGGGGTGAAGTAAAAGCCTGGAGGAAAAACAAATCAAAGAAAACATAATGGTTGTGAGGGACAAACAAGTTAAGAAAATATACTTTAGTCTAAACTTAAATAAGAAGGTCCACACTTTTTTGTCAAAACATTAAGCCTCTGTCAAAAATGTATTTTTTTTTTTTTCTTTTTATAGTACAGGATTAAAAGACAAGATGATGCTTACAAGGTAAAGAAATAATTTACATGAAAATAACTTCAGACTTTTCAGCTTTTCAATCAAAATATTTTGTAACATTCAAACATGACATACAACAACAAAAGAAACAGTGAATGCAAACAAAAATGTTATATGATTTCTTTCAAACACATAAATAAATGAAATATTGGTGTAGGCAGTAGGGCTCATGCTGATGGCTAGCAGGAAATAACAGTGTGCAATCTATTTGGAAAAAGCTCTAAAGTACAAATTACAAGCCCAATTATGGACTGCAGCAAGTTCAGTTATATCACTGCCATCCTCTCTTATCTCCAAAATAAATTCTTGATTAAATCATTCATACCCTAAATTACTCATACCTTTGCTTCAGAGATATGAATAACTATATACAAAAAGTAGTTTTATTTCACCATAGGGATAACATTGTACCTCCCTGCCAATGTCACTTGAAAAACCTTCCACGTCAAAACAATTTGACAGCAGACAAACAATTTAATAAATATGCAATGATCTTATTACAGTCCTTCAGCTAAGCATGTTAACTCATGCTGCTAGTTTTGTGATCACAGTGCATAGAATCCAAATACAAAAGAATGGGGTGGCTTTTAAGGTACAGGTAGAACCCTTGCTTATAATTCAAATATCTGAAACTTTCCCAAGCTCTATTATGCATCAATCTTTTTGTGGCAGGAGCAAAACCTTTCCCTGGTACAATGTCCATTGCCGGCAATGGATGCACCAAAACCGCAAAGGAGTTCAGTGTTATTGCACAATACATGAAGACCTGGAATTCTTCCAAAAGCTTAAAATAAAAATAATGGAATTATTCTGACATTTCTGGACACCTGCATTAATACTGTATGACTAATAAAAGCATGTCAGTTGCATGGACTGAACCAGCGATCAACATGCGCCCAGAATGCACACTAGTAAAAATGCAGTCAAAGGAAGTAGTCTTCTTTGCCTATAGGTCACTTCCAGTCAAAGGTTAAAGTTCAAAGACTGAATGATCAAAGTGCTCGTTTTCTCAGTAGGACTATCTTCTGCTACGAGGATCACAAAATGGTGGCATCAACATGTGTCATCTTTAAAATAAGATAAAAAAAAAGAATGTTTATACATTCGCCGTAAATACTAAGTCCGAATTACCAAGGAGATGTATGCATAAGCAATTCCTGGCATAGAAATTAAGACGCAGTGAAAACACACCAAATGAATAAGTTCACAACTTTGTTCAATAATGACTCAAGAAAAAGAGATGAGAGTATAAAATATAAAATTTCCAAACTACTATCCACACATTAAGTGTGTTAGTATTGGCAAGCACTCAATTAAAAGGACAATAATTAGTACATTCAATATTTAGAAAGTCAAACACAAGGAAAAGGAAATACCAAATATGCTTAACATTTTGCCCTCCTTGAAGTAAAAGCAGTTCTACATCCATTTATGAAACTGAGAAATCCTTTCAGAAGGAATTGGTAAGTATCAGCAGAGTTGGTTTATCCAGATGCCTCCCATCTTAACACTTTTTTTATGCTTCTCAAGAATCAATACAAACTATAGCTGATCAAACCACGCAAAAGCAATAGATCACTCCTGTAACACTAAAACTTTAAGTGTGAAAATATTTATATTCACTGAATTTTAAGTACTGTGACTGGACCTATTAAAAAAGAGAATACTGCACCAGACGTTTCTGCACTACACTTTTAAATATTAAATATAAATATTTGCCTGAGGAAACTTACCCATTTAAACCTTTCATTCCACATATCAACATGTAGGATATTTGCAACTGGTAACAGGAGATATTAAGCTTGTAAACAGAAAGCAAACTTACTGTCCAGTCATTAATGCATTTTCTTGTAATCTCACACACACAGAAAAGGTAGCCATACAAACAGCATACATTACTAAATCCATGAACAGTAAAAACAGAAGTAGCAGCAAACAGTTCTACATTCTCACTGGGAAAACACTACGTCCTCAATACTATTACATATGAGGAAAAAAAGAAAAGAGCCTTTTTTTATTAAGAGGGCAAGGAACAAAAAAGTTGTACATGTAAGGAAAAAAATGGGTAAGAATGCAAGAGATAGAAGAGGTGTTTAAACAGCATACTAAAAGTTTAGAAGTATCAGGGAAAACACCTGCTAAAAAAAATAAAATCAAAAGCCAAAAGCAGTAAGGAAGTGCTGGCTGAAAACAATCATCACTTCCACATACTTTTTTCCCCATAAAATTCTACTTCTTAACAACACAAAAGAACACCAGCTTTATGAAACCAATTTCAGCCTAACTTGGCTAAGAAAACCTTATGTGGAAGATCCTCCTTTGTCTTTGACACAGCACAAACAACTCTGAGAAAGTCAATGTGAAATTCGGTGTACAGTTGAAGGAGGTGTTGAGTATGGTAGATAACCTAGAACTTTTTTTAGTTGTTAAAGAGATCATTAGTAAGACGAAGCAGGTTTTAAAAGAGGGCCTTTGAGAATACTGAGTTTGTAACAAATAAGAATCTATAACTGTTTATGGAATAAGTTGCTTTGTTGAGTCAGGGATGAAATGACAACTTTTATCTAACAGACATCAGCAGATTTTACTTTTTTAATTTAAGAATTTAAGAGGATTGGAAGCACAATAATATTTTAATTATGATCTCCTTTGTAATTAATAGCTAAAAAGGAAGTAAAAACAAATGAAAATATTATGAAGCAAAATAATAAGTTATTTAAATGAACTGACTTGTTTTCTCATCTCTTTGGTTGCTTTTCCAGATTACTCTAACTTAGAAGGTTCTCTGACTTTCAGAAAACAATTACCGAATAACTACTTTGAAGTAACTAAACGATTTGTTCAACAGAATACAAGCAGCTTGATTTTCTTTCTGGGTCACAATTATATAGTAACTTTCATAGTCAAATAGCCACATTTTTTTTCCATGCTTACTTGATCTTTTGCTTACTTAACTCAAATTACATGAATAAGAAACAAAAGTAGTATCTGTTCTACTTGAGAGAACTCCAGTTCCCAAACAAAAGGAGATGGCCGTAGTACCAATGCAAAGTAAACAGGACTTATTTTAACTATAACATAAAGCCAAATAAATGAAACTTAATTTCATTTCTCTTTAGAATTAACTAGCAAGTAAAAACAAAATTAAAATAGTAAATACAAAAATTTCTAAAATTGCCAATAAAGAGAAAGCAAACTCAAAATAATTAAACAAAGACACTGAAAGAGTGAAAAACAAAAAAAGAAGAGAAAGTGAATACTGAATAATCTAGAGAAGATGAAAAATCCAGCCTATTATCCTCGCAGAGAAAGAGTATAATTATTATTGGAGTCAATTTCATAAACGGCATTATTTACAACCATATGATAAGCAATCTTAAGTTTCTTAAATACTTAAACACCCTACGACATACAGCACTGGCCTTACTGTGATTGAAATCAACTTGTTTTAGACTATCACGAGTAACACAGTTTCATTCTGTTCCACTTCCATTTATCAAAAAACCATGGGCATCAGCAAGTATTATGAAACTCAAATATTTACTGTTAAGGTACGTCTGGGTTTCTGAGCATTTACGCACAAAAGCAGCATCGTGTCTTCAGTCCTGCTATC